CGCAATGTCCTCGTCGCCGGAATCCAGGCTGATCACCAACTTCAAGGTCATGCTCGTCCCACTTCCTTGGCTCATCTTGGAGGGCTGACCCACATGTCGGGCTCGCGAGCTTCTTGGAAGTATAGCTAGATGAAACAGTCCCGAGATCACTCGCAAGACCCACCGATCCCGAAATCTTCAAACCAAAAACCCTCTGAAGGACATCCCAGGTGCCGGGAATGCTTCTCTGAACCTCCTGGGCAGTGGACGTGAGAGATGTGTTGGTGTCGTCTGTCAGCCTGGGCTGTTTGTTGAAAGAAGCGCCCGATCCATTGATCGACCATTCCAACACGAGCGTGTCGGAACCGGCATCCAGAGATGCCAAGATCCTGACGAAGTCAGCAGCGTCGAAGTCGAAATCGCCGTCGATTGCATCGTCCGTGGCAAACTTTCCTGCAAAACGAAGAGAGTCGGGGGCACAGCCCGAGATATCCAGGTTCTCCCAAGTGACCGTCACCTCTTTCGGGCCCCCCTCGCCATCGAGATCTTGAGCGACCAAGTAGGCATTGTCAAAGCCGGAGACCTGGAAACTGCTGCTCACCACGAAAGGTTCGGTCCCCGGCAAAGCGCTTGACACATCCCCAGGTCCCCCGCTAAAGAGACCTGTTATGCCGTCAGCATTGAGGATGCCAAAAAAGTCATCGGCTGTGTCCGAGAAGAATTCGCTGGAGATCTGGAACTGGGTGCTGCCATCGAAGGTTTCGTCGAGGAGTGTCAGGGTTGCCCCCTGCCAAAGGGACACGGAGGACTCTACGATCTGGGACTCCAAGCATGGAGCTAGCCGAACACTGCCACGACTGGGCACAGCCACAGCCACACTCGGAGCACGAAGCCTAAGCCGTGAAACCGGAGACCCAGACCCTACTGCAGAACCGGAAGCCCTGTGCCAGGTGCCGCCGCATGAACCTGGCCTGCGAAGTCTTCAGGGCACCGAACATCACCAACATCAAGCTCCACCTTGTGCAGGATTTAGGTTTAGGATCTAGAGTATCTAGAGCTCAGGAACGGTATACGCTTGTTGCAGGATGTGATCCACTTCGGAGCACCTAAGCGGCCACTAAAATGTTAACAAAAAAAGCGCCACGACACAAGCTTGAGACGCTGAGCCTTAAATCCGAAAACGTCCATCTTCATCTGCTGCCCAGCTCAGGACCCTGAAACAGTTCGGTGTTGGTTTAGCGCTTGCAGGGCAAGCTGCATGTACTGCATGTCCATGGTGCGATGTGGAACTGCAGGAGTGTGCAGCAAAACCAAAGGATTCTTCGGTGTCCCGCTCAAGTCGCAAGAGGAAATCGAAACCAGAGAACATTGGGCTACGGAGGATGGAAGTGCTTTGAGCCAGATTGCTACCGCATTTTCTGTGCAGCAGCCCGCAAGGCAGCAGCTTTCATCTCTGGCACCTGGTATCTACCACCACCCAAGATGCGCTGCTAAGCCATGCGCCACTGCTGGCCACTCCGGTAGCCAGGATGAATCCTGGTCGGTTGAAGGAGTTTCTGCACGTATTTGGCTCTTCTTGGAGAGGCTGCGTCCGGTTGTGTTCTTGGCAGGCGCACTTCATGTCGGCCCCGACCGTGAGCTACACACAAAGCCCAAAACTGCCATGCAAGTGGAGGCCCGAACAGATGGAAGACCACTCCCAGCTGAGCATGGCAGCACTCACATGCGGGCACAGACACAAGGCATGACAATCTTTGCCAATCATTCGTCCTTCCAACTAGTCTGGACAAGACCGTCGCTACGCAGAAATTACCACTGTTCGACGTCCCATCATTTTCGCCGCTACGCATCATTCGATTCTGCTTCTGCTACTGAGCCTGGAGCAGTTACAAAGCCGTTCAGGATCGGACTGGTATGATTTCGGTATGACACGTGACCAGAACGATAGCTATTCTGGCATCCTTGTTGGTTGTCCTTGTTTTTGCAATGGTTGTGGTTTTGGTGCCTCGATGACTGGAGTGTCCCGCAGATGCCGGATGCATGTCACAACAAGCCCACAGTCTTGTTCACGGTAGTGTGTATTTCTCCATATGGGGTCTCTGAAATCGGATCTCAGAATGGAGGTCTCTGATTCTCTTGAACTCCCAGGTCACAGCGCCTTGGACCAATTAGTTTCTGCCGCCAGACCTGTCCAGAAGGCTTGTAAGGCTTCTGGGGGCTTGCCCATGGTGCATGGCACTGAGAAGGCTTATTTCTAGGGCATGTACGGTACATAGGGATTGCATGGAGGTCCCTGAGTTCAGGGTTTAGCAACTGCTCTATGCTCCGATGTATCCTTCTCCAAGATGTGCCCGGAAGACTTCACCGAAACAGTTAGGTCCCAGGCTCATATATGGCCTGGACGGGATCCGCACCGATCCCACTCGATGGAGGCTTCATGTCTCAATCTGAAAGCTCCGATTGCGCCCTAGAGGCAAACGATATGTGTATCACGTAGCCCTTCCCATGTTTACTAAACCCTCCCCTAATATTAAAACTGCCGCCCCCCGGAATTTTGCGGTTTCGGGCCCGCAATTGAAAGTTAATTAAAAACATTAGGNNATTAGGGGGGCCTAGGATTGTATGAGTTTTAATGGAGCCAAGACTACAGTAGTACTAAACCGAAAGGGCCAGGGCTGTAGGGTTTAGGGGCTTAGAGCTCAGGGCTTACGGTTTAAGGCTCTGGGGTTTAAAGTTTAAGGCTCCAGGCTTTGGGGCTTAGGTGTTTAGGGCTTAACTAAGGCTCTAGGGTTTTAAGGTTTAGGGTTTAAGGCTTTAGAGCTTAGGGGTTAAGGGCTTAAGGTCTAGGGCAGACCCGTGTGCGCCGGAAACCCCCCTAATATTAAAACTAAACCGCCGGATTTCAGTTTTAATACAAGGGTGCGCGGGGGGGGGGGGAGGCGTTTAAAATTAGGGGGAAGGGATTATGGCAGATGAGGATTCCAGCAAGTTTCCCAACCGAAGGTGTTCCTGCGGAAGTTGCAAGGAAGACGAGACGATTCTGAACGGGATGCCGGCAAAAGCTGAGGCGCCGGCGAAATGTTTCCAGTGATTTTGGCAATTTGACTTGGATGGTGGCCGCCTCGAGGCTCTGGGGTCTGCGAAAAAAGGGGGGGATCCTACTTACCACTTGTAGTCTATATAGAAACTATCCCCACCGTCCATGAATCATGCCTTATATTACGATACCTAAGGCCAAGGGCCGCCCTTTCGAAGGAGATCCAAGTCTTCGAAGTTCGAGGCGATCTGGGGTTTCGGCGCTCATCTCATCCTCCTCGGGTGCGTGGATGACCACGCACCGCGAATCCCCACCTCATGCCGAGCTTTACTCGATCAGGCACCTCATGGCATGTCGGGGTCTACCCCAGGACCCTCACAGAATTACCAGGAGCCTTTGTCCAAGAGCGGGCATTCTTTCCGTCATATTAATGAACTTCCTATGTCCATCTCCTCTGAGTCTATTGCCTAAGCTTCGAAGACAAGCGGCTACATGAAGGTCTCGACTTTATGTTACTTCTTTGCGGGGTGCATGCTTGGGCATAATCACGGAAACCAAGGCCTCTAAGGTCTGCCGTATACCCGAGCATGAGCATGAGGGGCGATCCCTGTCCGTCCCCAGCAGCGCTTGGGGCTCTTCCGTTTGCACGTTGACTCTGGGACGCCCGGCAGTTCACAAGCTTGGCCGCATAGGTGCCATCGCCTCTATCTAGCTCATCAAAGCTGATGGCTCTCGTTGCTCACTTTAATTATGGGAAAGCCCTAGACGAAGCCAGGGGTTTTAATTGTTCTAAATATTTAGGAGCCCAAATACTCAAAATCATAAAAATCTCAGTGCTTTATTGTACGAAATCAGAAACCGAGCGATTTGAGAATTAAGATAATTAACATAATAAAAATCCGGATTATTTCTCGTATTTTTCTTATTTGCAGGCCAAATAATTAGCACAATTAAAAATTCAAATCCGGATTAATTTAATTGCTTGCATGATGAAGAATCGTACCCTAGCCCTGCCCTGCTCTCTCCTACCCTGCCTCTGTCCCCTCCCCAGACCACCCCAAGAGAGGCAAAGCCCGGCTGGCACGACAACATAGAATACTAGAACCGAGACGGACGACACCACCTGCGATAGATCAAGCCCCATCCCCTTCCTTGGATCTCTATGACCTACCTCCCCATCCTATCCCAAACAAACCTGTCAATCTTCGAACCTCCTCGTCTCGCACTCGTCTTTACAATATTCATCATTTGTTTCTGCGGTTGTTGGTGTTGTTGTTCATGTTGGTGTTGTTGACCCCCGACTAACAAAGGAGCCAGAGTTGCTGTTAGGGCTGAAAAAGGCTGGAAACGTACACGCACCAAGGAAAACAGCTGGACGTAGTATAATTGTTGCTGACTAGACGTAGTATAACTGTTACTGGCTAGTGATACATTATGATCAGCATTCATGCCAATATACTGTTTGTTGTGATACTGACGGTAACGGCTCGTTCATGTCTACAGTTGTTCATATTGCTTACGAATGTTTTCATCTACGTATGACTTAAAGAGTGACTTCTTGCTCGTATGATTTTATTCAGTATTGTTACGAACACTGTGCGGATGATTACTGCTAAGGGTACTGATTGCGGTTTTGTTGTGGTTCCTGATATTGTTGATGTTGTTGCCAGTGTTGTCGTTTGCTGCTGTTGTTGGTCCGAGTGCCTGTGAACGGGCTAGGAGTTTGATGTTGATGTTACAGCTGAAAGATTGGAAGTGTACTCACATCAAAGGAACGACAAAGACCAACAGACACAGAAACATTCGAATCATTCGAATATATACAGCTTCAAGTACACGTACTGTAATCAACACATACAACCAGCGACGCTACACAACACTCAAGAAACACTTCAAGAAAGTAATACTTCACACGAACACAGCATCAACAGCAGCATCCAAGAATACTGTGTATGATCATAATGACCATTATCATTCTGCTAGATTACATACTGTACCCCGCCGGCTTGCTTGTGATTCGACCGATGGTTGTTGTTGCTAACATATCCATGTCTGGTGACGAGCGGGATATCATATAAGATATTTGACACCTCAAGTATGGATGCCGTTCACCACACCAAGCTTCTGAAAGACATGGAACTTCGATATTGAACAGTATATCGATGTCGGTCCAAAACATTTCGGATTTCGGTTTGTGCAATGTACCGCTTAGCCATCTGCGATCTAGCTAAGGATGTAGAACTGTAAATATGAAACACTAGTCAAATAAACCCGAAAGGTGTCGGGCGCTTTTATCTAAACATATGTGTATGTATCTACATATAATAAAACATAGATAGATAGATAGATAGATAGATAGATAGATAGACATGTATGCACGATGAGGGTTTCGGGTTGAACTATGGTCATGTGAGTCATGAGTGCCTCAAAGTACATGCCCTGAAACATGCAGAATCTCGCCCAAAAAGTCCGAGAATCGGGCGGTTGCGCGCCACCATGGCGCCCACCGCGGTGCACCCCGCATTGCAGCCGGGATTGTGCGAGTGGCCTTCACCTCTTGGCTTTATGCTTCTGTCTGGGAGTTTAATCAATTTCGGCCCCGCAGGTCATTGTGGGTCTTGTACACGTTTGACTGCGGTTTAAGGGCTTTGCAAAACTAATGCATGGTTCCAAGCAGCGAAGCCTCAAGGCCAGGCCCGAGCACCGGGAAATGGGCCCTTTTCAAAGCGGGGCTGGAATGCCTGAAGAATCATAGCTGAGCAATGCCACCGCAAGCCTCTCCACGCTGGCTGTACATAGATAGATAGATCGATCGTAGATAGACAGATACGTAGATAGATAGACATAGACATAGACATAGACATTAGACATAGACATAGACATAGACATAGACATAGACATAGACATAGACATAGACATAGACATAGACATAGACATAGACATAGACATAGACATAGGCATAGACATAGA